TTCGGCTGGTGCTGCTCTGCGGCGCAGAAACTTGGCCATAAAGAAAACAGGATAAAGACAGACTGTCGGTATTTGAACACAGCTGTCTACGCAGCATTGCACAAATCTGGTGGAGTAGCCAGATGAGGACTGCTGAGTTTAGGTGCAGAGTTTTGGGTATCCGCGGTCGTCCACTGGAGCAAGCTGTCGACCACCATAGATTACGTTGGCTGGGACATGTATTACGCAGTCACCAGGTAGGTTACCACGGCTCCCGATGTTCGCCGAAGCAGATACCGAGTGGAGAAAAGCCAAGAGTGGTCAAGCTAAGAATTGGCATGAGAGTATGAAAACCCCAACCAGGAAACTGGGTCACATAGGTCCTGTTAGGCTCCCTGGATGGGAACCTCGGGATGATCGTAACCGATGGTTAGAGTCAATGAGCGAAATGGCTGGTTGTCGTAAACAGTGGCGTTCGTTCATCTCCTCAATTTCTTTGCAACCTTAGACCACTGAACTTCTCCATTTTCTTTTCGACACCACTTTCAACTTTCCTTTCTTCTCCTATTCTTCATCCAAATGGGCAGCCAAAAGACCAATCAAAACCGGCGCAGGAATACGCGTGGTTAATGGTTTTTCAAACTGAACTGAAAACTGGTCTACCTTAATGGTCTTTATGCTTGACCCCTGATTCTCGTAAATTCGAATGCCAAAACATATTTAGCCGCTTGGTCGTATTTCGCGGTCACTGTAGCGAGACATACAATTCACTCTATAGAAATGCATGCGTGACAGAAATTCGCCAAAACTTAGAATTTATTTTTTCTCGGGAAAAACTGCATATTATTATTCAACTTCTGGTAGCTCTTGGTTAAAGACCGTACGACAACTGTACACCGAATATTATCTGATGTGGGTTGTTATGTCAGGCGAAGCGAAGTGATTACAAATGTTTCAGTACCAGTCAAAATGACTTGAATCATTTTTTATATGGTGAGTGTTATTGCAGTTCACCATGCAACGATGAAGGTAAACTGTTAACGTCAAGGGGCATAGAAGATTCAAGAAATCCGATGCGATTAGCAAATCTGACCGATTATCTTTCCAACTCGTAACAGATTTAGATGGACACCACAAAGGAATTGGACTGGATGCATGTAAAACATTCCAAATTCGTTCTGAAAGAAACGCACGTCTAGGATTATGGAAATGGTAAATAGAGTTATTAATGTGACTGAACTGATGGTGCTGCATGGCATTCCTCAAATTGGTGATTAGCATGCAGTATAGTGCGGTTCATGGTCTCCTCCAACGATCAAAAATTAACAAGCCCACCGAGAGCAAATCGTTGTGTCTCAAATAATAACTACCGACTGCTCCATTCATTACTCTGTGTGCAGCGAGGAACTGCGATGATATGTTTCAAATGAGATTTCTGTTATATCTATGCTAAATTAGTGTTATCCTAACCGTTATCTGGAATGATCAACTATCCTTGACGGAGCACCACCTTGTGGGTTTATAACAATAGTAGTTTTAGGATGGGGAAAGAAACTGCCAAGCTTTTTATTTTCAATAAATATGCGAAACGTACACAAGCAAGGATGTATAAAAATGCAAGCCATTGCTAATAGGACGATGTAGAACACACCATTGGGGTAAAGTATACGGGTGGTATTCACCACTGCTACCGTTATCTGACCGATTGCGTCTAATGACTTCCTTGTATTTTATGAGGAATTTACAGATAGGGGCATGAGTTCCCTAACATACCAATAATCTTTCTGAAAACATTCACTTTAAATGGCTTCCACAGGCATCAATTGTTGATCAGGCTAAATTATCCATGCGGAACATTAGGAGAGGTTTCGTTTGTTTATGAAGTTGTTTTCGTCACTGTGTTTGTCGTGTAGCATTGATAACTGGGGTCTATCTCTGTGTATTTTGGCATGATAGTCAATTCACTCAGGTCTCTCAGTTCATTTGATCTTCTTGTAAGTTATCCAACGGTAGTTCCAAACATTCTTGCAGGATCCCATCTAACTCTCTGGTCAGCACAATTCATTACCTTCTATTCCATTGCTTATGCGCAGCCATGACAAATTCCAGACCTTATTTACGGGAAGTTAGCTACGGAAGTTCCTTTACGATTGTCCCAGTCCTCTTCATAGTAATGCATGGTACGCTCAGTAGTGCTTGGCTTACTGGCGGGAGAATCTACCGACACACCCATGAGATGAAGTTAACAGGATAAACAACTGAAGACAGAAAATATTCCTTGGATTATCGGTTACTTCCCTTGCACTACTCAGCTAGCTCTTGAATGATGTAACCTTTCACGAGAAATTCAAGCTCAACTACCTAGGCAATAATTGTTACCCAATGAGTCGCACAAATAATCTTTTCGCTTATCACAGATCTCCTAATCTATAGACCCCCCCCATATCAGTTACATTAGCTCATTGCGAGAACTATTTAATATTTCAAAGGTTGACTCTTCACAATCCTTTACGAATATAAATGTCGAAGCCGCTGACTAGTCTTCTTACGGGTGTTACAATTGAAATCAACGTCAATTGCTGGAAAATTTAAACAGTGATGAAATGAAAAGTTACCAAAAGATGTTTAGATCAGCATCCTTTGCTCTCGTAAATTTCCCTCTCCATCATTTGAATGATAACAACGGTTGTTAGTAGAACTGAACTGAACACTCACCTCTTATTCCAGGGATGTTGAAAGATTGAATAGAAGAAACAAGTGACTCTAACAGGAACATACCGTCTAATTGTTTCCCTATGATTCCACATAACAGCCTCCTGATTGAAACAGCACTAAACCAGCGTTTTGTTTCTAAATGTCATACATTATTTATTGAAACTTTACCAGCACACATTTTTCATTTATGGCATAACACTGTTCACTGGGTAGTATGGAAGTGATAATTTTCAGTCCAGTTACGTTTATACTATCTTTAATCTCACACTGTAGCACACTGGTTTTAGTTTCTGGCTTTCAGTTACCCACTTGATCGATCGAAAAGTATTGTAGTATACGAATGAGAGCGGCATCGAGACACACATTGAGGATAAACTAAATGCACGTGCAAAATAAACTGATGCAGGAGCGTCACTGCTTACTGCGCTTATTCATGTCATCCCTTGTTTTTTTCGATTGGGTGTTTCACGGAGTTTTTGGTCGCTATTGCCATATATCGATTCAACATTCCTCCATTTCGCCGTGATTGCTTTGAATAGCCATTTTGCGGATTTCCTGTCAGTCTACTGTTTCTATCCGTTTTATTGACTGAGAACAATTCTACGCTACGTCGATGCTATTTGTCTGATTTTGAACTCCGAAATGTTCCACTTTGATTATTTTAAATTAAAACCAGGCACCGGAGATTGGATGCTGTCGGGACAGTTGTATGGAGCGTATTTTCAAAGCAATCGGTCGTTCGTCCGCCGTCCCTCTGCCTTTTTCCCCATCGTTCCCACCTAAGATTTTGGACGCTGAACAGACAGAACAGTTGGAAAAACGAGCCGAAAAAGTGCGCTTGAGACAAATGCACTCGGATGAAATGCGTGCCGCACATCAGGCGATTGAAGAGGTGAAACTAATACAAAAAGAACAGGACGATTGGGTGAGTCGGTGGCTCCTTCTCCTGTGCGCTCATGCAACTCGGTGCTTTAAAACACCAGTGTTCTGAGCGTTCTGCCTTTACCCATGAAGTTGAAAAACTGAGTGTTGGTCAGACTAAGTCCAACATTCGCTATAACTAATCTAGTCGTTTGTATTTTCAGCAGAGACTTGTTTAACTTCCAATGGTTCAGCGGTTAATGGAGCGATGAGTGCAGATGGTATTATATTTGAGGTTCCGTGCCCAGGCTCCTTAGGCTCAATGTCTGCTTAGGCGTTCCAATTCGACTTTAATATGTTCACCGTGTAGTATATCGTCCTCCCAAGCTATCTGCTCCTACCTCAAGGGAAAAAACTGGGTTTTTATCGATGGTCCAGTTCTTGAATGTGACCAAACCACTATAGTCGGTGACGTTCATGTGGGTACGGTATTTTTTAGACATCAAATTTTGACCTCGTCGTTAGAATTCCAGGCGCTTCAACTTACTTCAGAAGGGGAATGTTTGGATTTCCATCGCATTTAAAATGCATGCAAACTGGCGGAATGAACGATCTCCCAAGAAGTGAAACCCTTACCCAACATCATCCACAGTGCTTGGTGCCTGTGAAGAATCGAGTGGGTTAATCCAACAAACGAAAATTCTACACACCAGAGAGGGTACTTTCTCGAGCAATTTGAAGTACAAAGCATCGGCTTTTCTGACTACTGTTCAAGGTGATGCCGTATATCTTGTATCCTGTTTAGGTGAACTCATTATTTTATATGTTGTCTTTGACAACAATTCATGCATATATATGCTATATTATACATATAATATATATATATATGAAGTATCTAAATCAATGGAAAAAGATTCCCCGGAAGCACACAAACGGTTTTGCGGTTCTTGCCGCTTGTCAGGTATGCGCATCCGGTAGTCTTTTGTCCGTTCATTCATACACTTGTACCAAGGAAGTGTATTTCCTTCACAATAACCTTGTTTGTAACACCGAGTGACTATTGGATAGACAGCTCTCTCAGAGCCAGTCCACTGAAGAATCAATGCTAAGTTTCGATGTTTTGTAAGTTGATTAGATGCTACTAACCGCAATATATATATATATATAATTCCATATAAAACCCTGCTGAATGCGAAATATTTTTCATTGTTTGTAGTGATTTTATTTTAGATAAGTGTGATACTGATGATCAGTAAAAATGGCGTCGGAAGATGTATTGGCTTTTAGTTATTTGGTCAATATAGACTCACACCAAAAAGAACAATATACTAACCAAATTTGTTGGTAATCGTAAAAAAGAACGTGCGTTCTACATTGGAGTGAACGGCTATGATAGTAAACATGAAAAACGAGCATTGCACGAGACTCGAGAAACCTTGCAAATAGTTGAGAGGAGGAACAGCTTTACCATAGTCCCGAATTAGGGCTCTACAAATACATGGGCGATTAGATGAACAGTAGGCGTTGGGCATTCTCCGGTAATTCTCCATCTCCTAGTGTTGATCCCGACTAGTTTCAATCTACGACATTGAAGTTAGCACAGAGTTCAACCAAATAATCTGCAATTCTTTCGCTCAAACCATTTCAGCACTCGAAGAGGTACGTACATTTCGTCAACTCAGCATCTGCCACGCCGATAGCTTCCTGGGTTATGTCATGCGCAAGTATTTCTGATTTATGCGAAGCAGCGAAGCATTTATTTACAGAAAAATTTGACAGTTCCACCAATCAGTCCGCTTTATCTGTAGCTGTTACAAACCACTAGTTTAATTTTCTTTGGGTTTGTGAGTGAGGTGGATTTCCAATAATTCCGTGGTAAACAGTATAGCGAACAAGCTTGTTTTCGTAACTTCGTCTTCAGGCCTTTACAGTTATGTGTGCCTGTTTAAAACTAATGTAGAAATAAACGTGATTGGACCATAGAGGTTATGTATGAAAATGCAACAATGTCTATTAAGTTTATTCACATTCATTTCTACATTAGATATAAACACGCACACATAACTGTAAAAGCCTGTTGACGAAGTTATGAAAAGAAGCTTGTTCGCCATACTGTTTGGCTTTTGATATTCCTATGGGAATCTTCCGTGAATCCAGTGGTAATTACTCTCGATTTTTATGAATAAAACAGCAGTGTATGATTTTCATCTACTTTTGTTAAAAGACATATTGCAAACCCCTGCGAGAATGCTGTTTTCTGTGGTATCCTTCAGTTGCTTCACAACTTTGCTACTGCACTTGAGATTGATGGTTCATGATGGAAAATGTAATCTCTGGGAGAAGTCAATGGTATCAAAAGAAGTGGGTAATTTGTAGGGAGTTCTTTTACAACCATTTACAATGCACTTTCGTAAGCCGGTTTTGGTTGCTGTCTTTGGCTGCCTATTTGGAGGACGTAGTAGGAGAGTTAACAGAATATCGAATTGCCCAATCCATCGTTATTCCTTGCTCTCTCAATTTGGGAGGAAACGCCCAGAGATGTCACACAAGTGAAGATCGAGACAATTAAGCTTTCTGAATGAACTGTGAACGATCCGGAGCATCTTTCGTTAAGTTCCAGTTCAAAACGCAGTTTTAAGGTTTGCAATAATCTGTGTTCAATATATATTGTTACCGTTCGTGGTTGAACGCGTGATTCCTTGGTAAAAATTGCGCTGGAAGTACGCCATCGAATAGGCCGGAATTTTGTACTCTGGTTGATACATATCTAATCCTTGCGGAACGCCGATATAGTTGAAATATTCTCCAGCACGGTCACAAAGGTTTCCATCAGAGTTATTCTATTGTTCACTACGATCGCGTTTCCATCATAGTTTCCACAAATGTTTCTCGTTTTTATTGGGCACAGCGGCTATGGGGGAAGGATTTATACCGATTATTATTATTAATCTCAAAGCTGATACACAAGAGGAAATGATTGTTTCGTTCTTTCCCGATTTACTCACTGCCATTTACTATGCAAATACGACCATTTTTTCGTACTACAATACAATCTGTTTGATCCACAGTACCACAGTCGTTTGGATGCGTGTTGGTTGGTGCTGTTCAGATGCTGGTGTCGTACAGACAACCGACAACTAACGTGTTTCGATCAGCACAACCGACAAGATCACTGCAATCTGTCCGTGTGACATTTTGCAGTGGACTGTTTGGTCATTTCGAAATCTTTGGACAAGTGTGGTGTCACATTCCGATGCCCAGTTGACAGCGTTGTGTAAATCTTTTATAATTGCATCTTTTTTGGTTTTAAGGATTTTGTTGGAGATGAAACATCAACATCCGAAATGATTAGCGAGTTGTGGGTTTATTTACCGATGCGAATGATACGCTTTGGAGTTCTACGTTGTCCATGGGACCAGTCAAACCTATAACTGGAAACCGAGGATCAGCATTCGAGCTTCTGAAAGGTGCCCAGGGTTAACGTATTGGTAGTGTCGTTTATGCATAGCGATATCTTAGTGCCCTATATTTAGAGCTGTTCGCACGTTTCAGCGGGCAACGTGGAAGATTGTCCTTGTGTTGGGGTTAAAAGAAGTTATCTTTGCAATTCAGCAACCGGAATCATATTAAATTGTATTGTTATGATTTGTGCAATCAACTATGCCTACATTTCACTCAGAACGTTTTCATCGTTACAGTGAGATCAAAAAGAAAAAAGTTATGTACAACAATGATAAAAGGCTAAGTGTCATCTTATATATATTTAAAATTAATTCCTTAAGGGTATTCTTCTTATCAGTCAGAATGAGAGCCAAATATGTTACTGATGAATTACGATAAATATTTGTGCAGGAGGATAAGCAGTGATAACTGAATCAGGTTGTAGCGTGGAAATGAAAAACAGATAGATTGGGATTGAACGGATGACTGGGGTCGTTAAACATCCTATGGATGAAATTCTCACATGCAGTAGTTTGAAAATCACACAAATTTGTGATTATGGTGATTAAGGGAATAAGAGAAACACGGCTGGTTATTACCAAACCGCGATCAAGAGTAATGAAATCCTTTTTAAGTAAGACAGGGAGAATAACGGGTGAGCAATAAAGTATGGTAGGAGAATTGCATTGATCAGCAAAAGAACATATAGTTGAATGCTTTACTCCAAATTGTCGTATCTTGCGTATTTGAAAGGACAAGCGGTGCAGTCTGGTTTGTATCGCCTATCGGTTGGAATATAATTGCGATCTGTCTTAGAGCAGCTTTTCAGTCGTAGGTTTGCTTTGGGTGGAAAGAAAAGACTGAAAAGCCTGTATAAATGACTACGGGACCATACAGTTATCCGTTCATGGGTTCCACCTTGCCCTATCATCTGCAATAGCCTTCAACTGCTATTCCATTGAGGGATCTCAAAGTACGGTACCAAGCTGCACACTTATAGTAATGACCAAAGAACACAGTCAACATGTGTTTGTCTCTGGAAGCTGGATTTTTATTGATATTTGATAAACGAGAAACCTCCAGTTCAACCGTAGAACGACTCCATCATGATCATCGTTTTATTTCAGATTGAAGTAAAATCATAGTTATATGGTTCGCTTTCGAAGATGTATCTTCAAGTCAACATTCACATTCAAAGCAATGTTTACAAAGGCCGGTCATCAATGAGCAACATATAAATATTCATGCTTTTTTTCTTTTAATTTTTCATTTTAATTCCTCTTATTGAATCCATGATAATACACTTTTCAGGAAGAGGGAAAAAGTCAATCAAATGTCTGGTATAAAACCTCAATAGGGAGGGTCATGCCAAGGTGGTGGGATTTGAACACGCCCTCCGGTGTGATAATTTGGTGACGTTACCACCAAGTCACCGCCACCTCTAGAAAAACATATATACATATACATTATAGGAAGAAGATACATTTGTTCAAAAGACAAAACAGGACGGTTTGACGTTCTCAAGAATAATCCTTAAAGATATCGACTACTTGTAGAGGTTCTGGATAAAAATCCAACAGAGATAAAAATTGTTTGTGTTTCTCGGTGTTGAGAAGAAAGTTTCGTTTATCAGGCTTTCGTATTGAAGGAAATAATGTAGATAAAGGTATCAGCAGGATGATTTATGATGCAGGGAAATCCACAGCACTGTCAAGATTCTTTGTATCTTTACCACTTCACTCATCATTGCAAGTTGGAATAGAGAAAGATTGCAATGATTCTCTGCTCATCACCATGAATGCACCTAAGTTGGTATTCTTACTTTATTCAAACCACCGGCCAACTCTCAAAACAAACAATTAACTTCAGTTTAGAGATAAAAGCAGTGGGCTGATCTCTAGTCCCATTGTCACATTTGCCCAGTGGAAAAACGACTACTCGATAATGGTTTACAGAGATTTCGTTCTACAGCAACCGACGAATGATAGCATCAAGCATCAGCATAGCGCTGACACTGACTAATTATCCTTCATCTAACCTAGTGATTGCTCGCAGTGTTACCTCAAAACGAATCATCACTCAAATTCATGCAAGCACCCACACACACGAAGCAGGGGTTGTTTCCAGTTTTCTTCAGTAGCAATCAAAATGCGGTCAGAAATACCATCCACTCTAAAAGCATTAATAAGTGCTGGATGAAGTACCATGGCTTCTGTTCTTTGGTAGTAATCCTCACAAATTAATACTCATTGGAACTCACCCATATAGACTACCGATGAATATTTAGAGCATTTAACATTTTTTTTGTTAGTTGCTTATATTATTCAGAAACCGCTTTCGCCTGATGTCAGTTAGGCGGTTGCATATAAGCTGGTTTTGGTTGTCAGACTTCACCCAGAAAAACACATGGGCTGCCATAAGATAGAACTACTGACTGATCAATCTGCACACTCCACAATTTATGACAGATGGCAATGTCAGATAAATCCAAGCTCACGAAGTACTCCGTATGTTCGTAAGAGTATGTAGACAATGACAAGCGAATTGGCTCATATAGCTTGTTCCCAGAATCGTTATCGCTCCCGAATTTCCAACAGTGATGCTATGGAGTGTCGGTAGCAGTGGTCTTAGTTTTCTGGTAAATCAATTCCCTTTCTTTTCAAGACATTTGTCCTAACAAAATTCTCTCAAACTTCAACTCACCTGAAGAATCTTCCTCTTGGGTTTATTTGATGGGTTCCCAAAAGACATGCCAAGCTTTAGTAAGCATGTAAGCACGTATATCCTATTTGAACACCTTCCTAGGTTCTACGCGTTTGAAAATGTTACTACATGATTGTGATGGTAAAGAAATATTTCATAAGCATTTTCCATAACGGGTTTCACTCAGAGGTCTGCGTCGGATAACAAACCGGAAATTTATTGAATAGCTATCCTTTGCCTTTTAGCCATATGCAAATTTAGAAAATCGCTATTTCAGGAAAAGTGATTAAAAACCCTTCGTATTTCTCTCCCATTGACATTTTTGTTTCTCTCTACCCTCGGTGTGCATTTCACCTGACAATTTTACCTGACGATACCAGCCTGTTTACTTTAACTGGGTGATCTTGCATATCACTGTTTTTGCACCAGAACAATTGGTTAACACTTGTCAAAACACAAGAATATCAATGCGCACAAGCACGCGCGTTACCAATGCGCCATTATCTAATGAAGTACGTGATGCCGGAATTAACCAAAGCTTTACTGGATTGTTCTACGTTACGTCCGGACGATCCGATTGATTTCATAGTGAGTTTTTCTTCATTTTATCCCTCTATACACTGCATTATGTACATTGTGCTATGTCGAAATGACATAACGGGACATAGCTTGAATGAGATCATCAATACTACAATCTCTTTGCACCAACATCCAAAGTCGAGTTCAACCGTAGGGCGCTTTAACCCGATATGCTTCCTGGTAGAGTGTTATCTGGTTTGAAATATACCGATGACTGCCAAGTGAAAAACCAGGTAATTCGCAAGCGTATCTTATTAGTTTGAGTGGAGGTTCAGCTATGTACGGTATGCGTTATGCACCTTTTAATTATATACTGTCATATTACTGTGTTGGTCCGAATCCCAACATCACTCTTACTGGGAAGGCTTTAGAATAAGCGGACAAATTTTCTACGTGAGCATCTTCTTCATTTACTTCTTATCTGACTAAAAAATCTCGGCTAATCCTTTCTACGTTGTGATATCTATTACACTGTCGCAAAATCCGTCTGTTTGTGAAGAGTCGGGTGTATGATACAGCAATTCAGTCTGTGCTATACGACGATAATCCTTGACGATCGCTTATTGGAGCAAGCACTTAACCTACATAGATTACGTTGGCTAGGGTGTATGTCCTACACATTGCACCTGATAGGCTACTTCCAAGTGCCAGGTTAGATAGTGGGTAGGAAAAACACAAATGTGACCAAACTAAGGCCTGACAAGACCGAATGAAAACCTTGGTCGCGTTAACCTTGCGAATTCGGAATATCAGANATACAAACAACTTCCAGAGGCACTGAGTGACAAAGACAGATATATTTGAAATACCGAAGGTTAATAAATCCATAGACCATTACGATTTATTATCACTTCTATAGCCGTACCAAACTGCAATCTCGCAGAATACCTCTTCAAGATACTACACCCATCCATCCACGCTAATCACAATGAAACAAAACGTCCTACAGTATTCCTGGAACAAGTCAAAGGCCTGGCGATCGAACCATATTGGGTGATGATCTACATTCAATCTCCTGCTATGTCACACCCCTCAGAAATTCGAAAAAGTGGGTAAATTTCAGGAACTGCGACATAGCACGGTAAGCAGTAGTAGGTGCTAATAAGTAGTATAAACATCGGTTGATAGTTTTGTGACAAAATAAACCGGATGGATGAAAAGTAGGTTAATCCCTTTAGTTGTTCCCAATAGTTATGATTATAAACTGTTTATTTATAACGGAATTTAAATATACCGTCCTGCGTATCCTTTATGTATCACAGAAATTTGAATATTTTATGACGCCCTCAGCCTAGTATCGGTACATTGCATCCGGTATTCAGACCTTTTCAGTTCTGTTTCTAGTTATCCCGAATCTACCTACCTTTCTTCAGGGGAACTTCTTCTGATCCAATTATCTGATATTAAATCCACATATTCCTCCATTCCGTTGCAACGTTAGGCTAACCACAGAATTGATTATATGACATCCAGTGTAATATGCACCTGTTTTAGCTATAATAATCACATCATTTTTAACCCATTCAAGGAAAATCAAGGTGAACCATTTCGAATACAGTGAGGAAATAGTATCTAAAATGCGTGAAATATCTGTTGCGGGGTATATTCAGAACATTGACTTCCTTCCCATATTCAAACTGATTGTTCGCTGTGCAATCTATTCATGATTTTCTATTGAAAAATGTGTATCATTAACGTCTGTAGACATCTATTCATTCGTTCGCTTCTGTTGTTACCAGCGTATGTTTAAACCGATTGATGCATTCGTCATGACCGCTGTTGGGCGGATTAAGTTAAACTATAGTGATGCCTTAACGTAATTCATAAGCCATACCTTTTTCAATTTAAGATGTCATGTTGCTATGTGGATAGTATGATAGTCCGATTACTCCATCGGTTCACATTGTCTTCTACTTTTTGTGATGATCTTGTTGTCACGTTCAGTCCATCCGTGTGCTGGCGGCACTCCTGTTGTGCAGTCAAAGTTTACTGGACCTGCCTAAGACTCACGGTTGTAGACAAGGTGTGGTTTCTCGCTCGGGTTAGCTGGGCAAGCGCCAGGTCCCTTGTTGCAGCTGAACCATTCGATCGATCGATGAATGAACCCGATCGGTCGTGTGATTTTCGGGCCGGCACAGGAAGAGGATAGCTTCCGAATCCGATGCAGCCTGTGTTGCTGAGATCCACCCCAAGAGGATCAGTTGTGGAGCGGTGCGCAATGTGAGAAATTCCGAATGGAAAATGCTCATTCGATGATGACACTGGGCCAAAGCTTGACTCGTCTAAGATACACGCACTATTTTTCGAAGCGGGTTCGGTAAACAGATAATCACAATAAAACTTTGAAATTATCTTAATAGCGAACAACAGTATCCTCCAATGTATGCCAATGCAAAACTCTTCTTGTTTTTTCCCAACTGGTTTTTTCGCGTTGAACAATCTAGCTAACTACTTCGGAGATATAATTCCGAAAGAAAGAAGGAACAAACATTATGGAAAAATGCATATTTATTTTATAGATGTTGTTCCATATATTTCCATCCTGTTCCTTGCATGGCCAAATACGGCGAAGATGGTTTTATTCCACCTTCAGAATGGTAGCAGCTGCTGCGCGGTATTTAGATGAATTTGATATTGACCTGGACCCTATTACGTTTCCATTGACCCGACAATCATGCCGTGCACAATACCACCTTGGGACTATGAAGCGGTTTTGATCCAACAAAGTTTCTTCGGTTTCCAACGCCCCAACGAATAGCGCTTGTCACATTTCCGTTCACATGAAAAACGGCTTCATCCGTAAAAACCGCTTGCCACACGTCCAAGTGTGTCAGGTACCATGTGCAAAACTCTAGTCGGCACTCAGGATCATGGACAGGAAGTTTTTGTAGCCGAGCCTCTTTGAAGGGACGAAAGTTGTTTTCCTTTAAATCTTGAGCACGGAATACTGTGACATGTTGCATTCCTGGGCAATTAGCCTTGTGGACTTCTGACGATTTCGATGCACACATTGCAAAATGTTGAATACAATACATTCATCCGTCTTCGTTCCCGGATGTCCCTTGCGTTTCCGATCGTGTACACTTCCGGTAGATTTGAATTCGTTAATCAGCGCTCTGGCACCGATTCTCGTAACACTGGTTGCACAAGTGTCGTTGAATTCTTTCACCGTCAGTGAAAGGTTCTCCTTGTTCCCGTAGTACATTGCGATCAACGCCAAACGATCGTCGATCGACAGATGATGAGTACGTGGGCAAGCCATGATAACAACCAGTATGATGACCGTCTGCTCCTAATCCTGTTCTTATACCACAATAAATTGCCGTTATCCCCAAATAGAGGTACATCACTCAAAAACAGTAAGGGGTGCGTTAGACCTTGGTTACGATTATCTTTTGTCAGTGACCTGTCTAATTTCGTTAGTGCTCTAAGAGATACTGTTGCGATTAGCATTCAACCATTTGCACAGGCTTGTAAGTGCCAATGATTCTGAAAAAACGTAGATAATGTCTGTGTTGCTGTGCATGTGTATGGATACTATGAAGCATACAGTAAGAGGTGTACGAGAGTTCAAATCATTCTGTAAATACCATTTGTACTGTGAAATGTATCAGATGCAAAAACCGTCTGACACTTAGTTGATAACAGTTTTTCGTGAAATTCCATGTGACTTGGCTACGGAGCTCTGAGTTGCACCTGGCTGTTTCAGCATTTCCAACACATTCTGCTTCTCTCTGATCGATAGGCGCTTGCACATTTTGAAGTCAAATAACACTGTCTCCGATCGCTTGCATCGGTGTGACTTCCTCGCTAGGATTATCCAATCAGTGAACAGTGCCATGAACGCGTCACACCAAGTGCAACGCCATTGGTTGAGTGCGACATTTCAGAGTGGATGGTTAGTAGTCGTCCCGAACATCGGTCAACGACCAAGAGAGTACCTATCAGGAACTGCGACATATTGGAGGGTGCAACATCACATAGTCAGAAATTCTGTTATTAAGTGTACAATTGGTTTAGGTTCTTGAAAAAGTGGGAAGATATTGGAAAATGCGACTTCTCAGGGGTGCGACATAGCAGGAGATTGACTGTACTTCGACGTGACCTCACTGTGCAGCCAATAACCATACACTTCCATGCGCTGTTTGTGACTGCTGCCTTTCGACTGCCCTTCTAGATAAAGGGTTAGAAGAAAGATTGGAAGAAAAAACAGAAAGACGACCTGAATTCCCTTCTCGATATCCTCCTTCTGAGGCAAACAGGCGGGAGCATAAAATCCACAGTGTATCACTGACCGGTTACGAAACCATATTTTCAATGGTGACAGCAACCAAATCCTGTGCCACCTAAAAATTTATGTTGGAACCCTATTCAAACGAGTGAACACACATGGTAACACACGGGGGAAAGGATATTCCGATTCTGACAACCACTCTTATCCAACGTAGGCCCAAGAGTTGGAGCAACGCAAGCATTAAGTGCAGAAAACAGCTAACACGTACACAAGAGGAAAGTAGGAAAACGCCACTGTTCATGAACGGCGCGTTTGAATCCACCGAACACATATCCCATCGTTGTGAATCTAGGTAACCCACAAGTCAGTATCAAACGTGCGATCGTTGCCTTTCAAAGGCAAGGTACCAGGGGAACAGAGCGAACGTTCAGGTGTACTCTACGCAAACTCGTACCCGGATCGCAATCAACGCTTCGCTCAACACTTCGTGAGACAGGCAAACAAATACACACTCGTCTACACGAACACAAGTTTGACCTCCGACGCCTTGACCCGACATATATATTTTAATATAAGTAGTTTATTTATGATTGAAAAAATTCCCCTGGCAGCACACAACCGGTTTAGCGGTTCTTGCAGCTCGTCACGTATGCGTATCCGGTAGTCTTTTGTCCTTTCATTCATACACTTGTACCAAGGAAG